CTGAGTCGGCAAGAGGTAGTCATTAACAAAATACGAATGGGCCATGAAACTGTGCTGAACTCCACCAGCATTCTGCTCCTGCTTTAAGTTTGAAAGCACTGCGGAAAGTTGTTTAATCCTAGCGGCATAACATAGTGACTGCGACGACATTTTAAGACGTTTCAAATATGCAAATTACATGTTAAGCACATATAGTCGGCAATAATTAGGCAAGCGCTTAATCGGGTTCAAACTCTCAATCTTCAAGTCGCGGCTTCCAGTTTCGGTTTTTATCCATAAGAAAGTAGAACCTTTCAGCTTAAATTTATAAGTTGTCAGGCTTACATGTACTGGAAGCTTTACCTGTCGTTTTACACTGAAAACGATTCCAAAACAAGTAGTGATTTTAGTGGTCAAAGTGGTCCAAATGATGAGTGAAGTTTAAGCACAAATGAGCAACTGCAACAGGAGGGAAGGGCATTTATGCGTACTAATGGTCATAGTGCAACAATAATGCACACTGCCTCAATGGGTAAGGTAGTCTCTTCAAAAATCCGGCTGCTTGGAATTGAGAATATGTTCATGCGACCCGCATACCACCACTACCCGTATGAGGTTATTCTGTAAGGCCACAGGTAATAGAATATAAACTACCAGTACTTCAATGGAATAACAGGGCGTGGTCCTTTCAGTCCCGATAGCAGGACACGATGTCATCGCAAGAGGATGCAGTCATCAAAAATGCCGACATGGATTCGGCGATGCAGAAGGATGCTGTGAGCATAGCAACTCAGGCTTTTGAGAAGCTCAGCATTGAAAAAGACGTTGCAGGGTACATAAAAAGGGAATTCGACAAACGATATTCACCCAATTGGCACTGCATCGTAGGAAAAAACTTTGGCAGGTGGGATTCTTTTCGACACCTCTCTTTGCCTCCCTTTTATTATGCTTATTTAAACATTTGAGGTTCCCTTGCGCAGAGCAATATTTAGCTATGCACGCAATGATGCGCATTTGGGATAAATAGGTTATACCTTCTGCTTTCTTGCTGGTCTTTCTTTAGTTACCAAATCCTTACTATCATTGATGCTCTAGTCGATCCGTTTCAGCAAGAAAAGTGTTTTAACCGAATCACACAGGCATCAGGACTTTTAGCAATTACCCACATAAGTTAAGGAGCTTCCCTTCATCCGTTTAGATGTATTGGTGCTTTGCAGGACTGAAAAATAAGCCCACACTTATAGTTCTTGGGAAAGGGTACTTTAAAAGTATTTACAAAAGGGAAATTGTGGTTACGTGATTCATCACCCATCAATTCTTACCTTTTTAGCTATGTTACTCATGAAGCTAACCACTTCATCTACTTTTACCTCGGAAACACGGCTGTTCTCCTTTACAAAGCGGGATAGGAAGCCTCTACCATGACTATACAAGTTTTACGATAAAAATTCAGTTTGATGCACCCACCCCTGTGCAGAGTTAAATATTTATCATCTG